GACCTGATGATCCGGACGCTGTAGAAGAGGAAGAGGTGGACGCAAAAAAGAAAATAAAATACTACACTTACAAGGGCTCCCTTACCACACCTCCCTGCTATGAATCTGTCACCTGGATCGTTTTCAAGGACAAAATCAAGATCTCCAATACCCAGGTTAGCTTCATGTAACATGAGGAAAAGTATGAATAAATCATTATTATTATTATTATTATTAATGAGACGTACAGTTGTTTCATTGTTGTACAGAATTCCTTTCGGTAAACAACTGGGGGGACCTTTTTTTTTCCGAAGCAACCGGTAACAGCCACACCCTTTATGCTGGGTGAAAAGAGCTCTAATGAAGAGTTTTCCTTTTTTTTCAGCTCAAAAAGTTCAGGAAGTTGAAGGCTCAGTATGGAGGTGCTCCAGGTTTGATGTGTGACAACATTAGGCCTGTACAACCGTTGCACAAACGCAAGGTGTACTCTGTCCTCTCCAGCCGAGACTGAAAGGACAATCACCTTGTTTTGCTAATAACCACTCACCCTTACAAAGGCTCCAAATATAAACCGCACAAGGAATGAAAATGTCGCTTTAACACTGCACATCATCACAGTACTTATCCGGAAGTGTCCTAATACAGCTCCGCATGCTGCAACACAAACTATCTCTGTTTGCAGCTGAGCCAGGAAGCGAGAAATTTCGAACCTGGATGTTCGACACATCTAAAACCAATATTGTAGCCCACGAACAAGTTTCTGAGAATTTTCTTCCCTTAAATCTTTCTCTTCGCCCATGAAACTTCTCACGCTCTGGTGAATCACTTAATGAATTCCTAACATAGACAGCGCATAAGCTTTAAACAGAGGTTAGATGTATCTGCTGGATATTTCATAAAAAAACGGGGCGGGGAAGGGAGACGCGAGGGTCTTACCATGACTCCGGTCCCATTGGCCAGAAGATTCTGTATCATCAAACTGTTAAAACTATCATGATGCATCCTTACCTCTCTCCCCCCTCTCCCCTCCCCCCTGTCCATGGTTACCGTCTCGGGTCAAGAGGATATGGACTGAATTTCCTGTCTTTGAAGGGGGAGGGGGTGGTAGGAGTTAGGAATGATGCAGGGTAGGTGGACAGGGGGATGAAAGCGTATTTTGTAATAGTATTTTGATTTCTAATATTTTTGTTCACGACGCCCGAATTCAAGGAAAAAACATGTAATAGTTTGCTAAAACAGAACAAAAAACCTGTAAAAATGGGGATGAAAAACAAAAGAGGCAACGGGATTGGGGAAAATTTACTCAAATTATGACTACAAATTTGTAAAATGTCAGCGTTTTTTTTAATAAAATCTAATCATTGAATATACTGGTAGTTCTAATTTTTGAAAATTATAATGCAGTTGTAAGCGCACAATATGACGGAGTTTAATGAATGGACAGCTAGTGCCGCCACTATTTACAAACTTTTTCTACCCACCAATTGCGTAAGAAGATACAACAGAGATGGTATTTTTCTCTGATTACATACATGTCAAGTTTTCAATTCTGGTTAGCCATGTCTCAAATAACACTCTTTAAAAAGCCAAAAGAAAGTAATAAGCTACAAATGTGTTGAAATTCGGAGGACAGCTCTGTTAATGAAATAGAAATGATTGTGAAGTTAAAATAAAGATCGCGCCTAAGCTATCGGCATCCACTAGAATATTTTAAGACTATGCTACAAAAATTAAAACACCCTTGACTTAGAATAGGGCGTATCAGTTGCATTATTCATGACAGTATTTTAAAAAATTTCAAAATCATCTCGGTTGCTAGATCCAAAGCATGAGCATTTGGTTGCTTTTTGACCACTAAGGATAGAGATGCCATCATCAGTAGAATTGGACGAGAAGAATAGCCTTGTTTGTTGAGAAAAATCCTCTCCAATATTCTCCACCTGTTGATTAAATTTATATGTTTCACAGTGAATGGTTTCCGTACGCCCTTTGGATAGGTTCTTATGAGTTACATTCAAGGACCGGTCATTATCTATCGCCCTGGTTGGGAGGGGAGGAGAGGGATTTTTGTTGTCACGATAAGAATTAGCTGATCCCTCTCTAATATTCTTATAATCCTCCCTGATTGGCAGTTAATTGGCATTCCTTCTTCATGCTCTGTGAGCGACGACTGATTCCCTCTTCGTTCCCCCCTGAAAACCATGTGTTTCCTTCAGAATCCTCTGAGCCTCCCCTGACGACAAACAACAACTAGGCCTGGTTGTTCCAAGAGCGGATAACACTATCCAGCGGATAAGCATGCGCATTACCAAAACGATTGCGTTATCCACCGGATAGAGATTCACCCAATAGATAGCATTATGCAACCTTCGTACAACCGGGGCCAGGTCTTTAATTAAGTCGAGACTAACAAAATGTTCGGTTTTGTGTTGAAGAAGGGATCGTCACTTATCAGGTGTTCTTCTTAAGATCTCGTTAAATCCAACTTTCGTACAGGGCCAGGTCTTTAATTAAGTCGAGACTAACCAACATGCTGGGTTTTGAGTTGAAGAAGGGATCGTCACTTATCAGATGTTCTTCTTAAGATCTCGTTGAATTGTCAGCCTGAGTTAAGGATTTATGACAGCACAGCAAAATGCAGTGCGGAGTTGTTACCTGAAGGAAATATGCTTTTATTTAAGCTCCAAAAAATTCAAATACGATTTCAGGTTTCTTGTGCAGACATTCATTCCAGGTTCTTCACTGAAAATCGATATCTTCTCAGCGTTCGACTTCTCTAGACCAATCTTCTTCATTCAATTCCACTTCGTTTCCAGTGTGATCTTCCTCTTCCGACTCCTCGCCAGAATCCTCGGAGCTTGATTCCGATGCACCAGAGTAAAACTCCTCGTCAGAGGCTCGATGCTCGGTGAAACTGGCAAGAGGGAAGTCATCTTCGTCGATAAATTGAATTTGAACATTGTTTTGAACGTCGAAATGTAGTACGGCATCATCTCGAAGAGCTGCCATTTTTAAATCTCCCCGTTCAAAACTTTTAAATCACAAAAAGCCTCAAAACTTACTCAAAAACAAGCTTGATGGAAGAAATCCTCGAAAAAACTGACAAACTACTCAATGTAATCTAAAATGAAATATAGTAATAGTTCCCAGCACCTCAAATCCCTCTTTTAAGGCCGCCCGAATGGGGTCTGTATTGAAGTGGCCATATGTGGCCACTTGGTATGCGAAGGGTTAATACTGACTTTGGAAAGGTCAGGTATATAATCTGATGTGAAACTAGCCATAACAAAGACGAGGATACAGTTATAAATGTGATCTGTGTGATGCAGAGTATGTCGGCTACAACAGCCGACATTTACACCAACGTCTTGACGAACACCGTTATTCAGCAATTGGCAAGCACCTAAAGAACGACCACTGTCTGGAAACCATCGGCGACCTATCCAACAACTTTTCCGTCTTAAAGAAGAAAAGGCCATGCTTGAACACATAATCAGACTCCATACGCGCAAAACTATTTATTTCAATTTTATTTCAATTTGTCACTTTTTACATGATACTTTACATTTTATCGCCTTGCACGATATATATTAAGTTGTCAAAATTTTATTCTCCGTTTTCACTTGAAGATGATGACATGGCGTCATCGTAGCGTAGTGTAAAACTTCTTTCGCTTATTTTTATCAGTAGATGCTGCAAGAATTCATGGCCCGATTCGTCCCGTTGTAAAGATAACTGTGAATTTATAAACCTCAAATTCTTATGTTCTTGCCCAGCCCTCAAAGTAAACTGAATGCCAAAAACCCAGACCAAAGTTTTGCAAAGTAGCTCCCTGTTCTCGCTTCTTAAGAAGCCGTTTTCCCACAAATAGTTTTTTTGTTCCTCCGTGATGAAATTAGCCTTGTTGACAATTGTTGACAACTGTACCTATTCCTTGTCCGGCTATTTCTTTCATTTGAAAATTCAAACAGAATTCAAACTTCTAAATGAACAATCTGTTTTATCAATCAAAGTTACATTTCGCTTACATCTCACACGTAAAAACGTTTGAATGCTACCTATCATTTTATATAAGGTCTTTCCTCGATACTCTTGTTCGTCTTCTTTTCTAACTTCCGAAACAAGTCGGGCTAAGGTTGCTCGTCAGACATTTAATTTAGATTCTCTTCTATTAAAGGTTTGCCACTGTAACTCAGTTTAACTACCGCCTCGTCTCTCTTAACCCTCCACTGATCAAAGACTTTCACCACCCGGGCCCATTTTTGACGACTTGCGTCCAACACCCAACTTTCTTCAAACTTCTCGCACTCAAAATATGTAATTGGTTTTCTGAAACTTCTCGCACTCAAAGTATGTAATTGGTTTTCTGAATCTTTGCTCTTCTGAAGAAGAAAAAATGCAACGAAACTTTTTCTCGGTCGTTTAAAAATGACCGAAACAATAAAGTTAAAATATTTAATTACCTTAAACACGAGGGCGCGCTAGAAAAGGAGCCTTAGGTCCCACTGGACCATTTGTGAATCAACCGTCGTGTGATGTAAAACTCTTAGAGTCAAGTGAGCTTGAGCTACAGCTACTTCAAAGCAGTGAACAGCAGGAGCATTCCTTAAAATTGTTTTATGTCTTCATCACAATACAAGAATTTTTGAGATTTGTATTTCCTTTCTCCAATGGAAACTGTCTTTATCTGTGGCGGTAAATTTGAGATCGAAGTAGGTGGTTCGCACGTTGGGAGTAAACAATAGGTATCTCATTAGCTCCTTTTGTTCCTCTACCAGCATTTGAATTTGTCCTGTACACGTCAACGGTGAGTGACAAATGAACCTTGGTCTTCCCAGGGAAGACTTCTTTATATAGTGCGCCTTCGCGTTTAAGCATTCTCCGATATCTGGCTCTGCGTTATGAAAATTGCTGATTCGTCTTCCGAAGAATCTTCCCTCCAGCTTCAAAACAGGTTTTGTTATGCCTTGCAACGAAAAACTCAAAATGACCAAATATAATGCGTTGTATCTATGCAAATGTGTTTTCGTCATTTGCATGAAATTTTGTTCACACATACATGTGAAAGAAGAAAATTCTCCTCATAGGAATGGAAAGTTGCATCATCTTTACAAAGTGTTGAAAATGGCTGAAGAGGACAATCAAAAAGGATTACACAAATGTTACCACTACTGAAGGTGTAGTCTAATCGTCCGGGTGAGTGTAGTCCTGAGAAGGACTGTTGTCGGTGGTAGTGACTGACGTTTCGACAACTTGTGCGGAAGTCATCATCAGAGTCAAGTGATCACTTGACTCTGATGATGACTTCCGCACA